CCGGCCGCCATCTTTGGTGTAGCAAATTGACACTGGCCGGTTTAACTGTCATTTTGCAAAGTTCTAGCGGGAAAATTATAAAAAAATAATAAATTTTAGATATTTCTATCTCATCAATGTAAATGGGGTTTTTGACAGTGCGTTTAAAAATAATAATATCTTTTGTCTCATTTCTTTCTAATCCCTCATTCCAAGGGTGACCATAAAACGGTTTGCTACCAAAAAACTCACTTATTTCTAACTGAATCACTTTATTAACATCCAATTAAAGCTCGCCAGCCCTACAAATATGTAACAACCCCAATTTGTCACTATAATGTCCCTTTCTAAACTATATCTGTCCCTTTCCTGCACTAATGGAGCTACAATAAAGTAATACGACGATCCATTTAAAATTTCCTCCAAATTCGCGCGGCGTTCTTAATTGCGTATCTCCCCTAGCGGTTTCTGTCTCCCTCTAACACAAGAGGTTCTGTATTAGGCTGTCTCGCTCTCTAATCCGTAGGGGAACGGTATAATCGCGTACATAAGCACTTAATCGCATTTCGGGCCATGTTGAATGACACCCCTATTTATTTAGTACGGGTATCATTGTGCTTTTCCTATTAAAACGATTGTTTGCGGAGAATTATAACTTTTATTTAACGACCAGGGTTGTTAGAGCTCTTTTGTTGGGATAATAGAGTTTTATGAGGGTTCATTTTACGGTAGTTGGTGCGTATGAGCAGATGCGTTGTGTGGAACGAATTAAACTTTTATTGTTGTTGTAGTGCGAAGTGGTAGTACATTAAATTTGCATCAGAATGCGATAATTGTTTGATGGCTCGTCTCGTTGCGAGGTTTTTTGGTATTTTGTACTCTTGTTTCATGTTTGTGTGAAATGATATATGTATGTTTCTTCTATGTTACTTAGTTGTATTGTTTCCTTTGATGACTTTGTTATATGTTCTGAATGATAGTTTTACTTGTAAGTAGTAAAGATACGGTTATAGATAGTTGTAGCAATAAAAATAATAATAGTATTTTACGATTATACACAGGTATTTAGAATCTACCATAACATTTAGCTCTAGCTACTTAAGCTTAAGAATTACAAGATGCATGACTATTAATCTCCAAAGTTCATCTCAAATTAAACAAAACAATAAATAAAATAAAAACAGAGTCAAAAACTTAACCCTACAACACGATAGTAAAATGATACAAAATTACATAGTACGCCACACGTCCCTAGGGGTATAAAGGACCGTATGATCGATGGGCGGCGTATACCCGTAACCGGCAAATGGGCCTATGGGACCGACGGCGCTAGGGTTGAAATGGAACATTCTGATAGGGACTTTGAATTATGTAATTGTAATAAAATTGATGATCATCGGGTTTCCAAAAGTGTGTGGGGTTATTTGAATCAAGAAAGAGATAGTGGTAGCAATAATTAGGTGAGCTAAAGATAATCAAAAGTATTGAACACAGCTGTAGATAGACAGTATGGGAATATTTTTAAGGTTGATTGTAATTATAAATCTATCGAGTTTTGAAAAATCTCGTAGGTATAAGTTTCCAAGATATTCCTAAATAGTTAGACATGTAGTTATATATCATAATGTAATAAAAAGATAAACCGAAAGTTTGATTTCACTAAAACAGTAGAACTTTAATATAAACCTGTTCAAAAACTAATTTATTAAAATTACAACAATTGCAGAAACCACGTCCACTTCACAACACTATTAGCTTCAACTTAAAACTCAAAAACAGCTTCAAAACTCTATAATTACGATAAACACAACAATAAAACAAAACAAAGAAACAAACAAAAACGAGCGAAAATGACTCAAACAAAACTGAGTAACATAAGTTAATGGTTACTCAAACAAATAAATGGACTTGCAAAAGTCGAAGTTACTACTATAATTATCGTATTTAAGACATCTCCTTGTACTTTACAACAAAAGATGGTCATAATATCCATTTTGTATAAACTTTACTTTTGATTTACTACTGCTAAACATAGGTTAAAATATCTTTGTTACTTTGGTACGTGGGTCGTTAAAATTCACATAAAATTATATGTAAGAAGCTAGGTACGTACTTTAGTTGTCTGTTTTGTCGGTATCGACGGGTAATGTGACCAAATACTCAAACTACGCTCAATTTAAAGTCACGCCTTATACTAAAGCCACAAACTTTTTGTGAAATGACAAAAACGGAACGATGATTAAGTACAAATTAAAATTATTTATTTTATTGTTTATTTATCTTTATATCACACAGGTAAGTATTTTATAATCTAAGCCCCACAAAACCGTTGCAATGGTTTGACTGCGGGGTCGAGTCGCTAGACGTTACAATTAAATATACTTATATTTAAATGTTATACAGGCGTTGAAACTTATACTTAAATGGAATAGCTTTTCTGTATTCTGGCGTAAGACTAGTGGTGTTGTTAAATCATTACCTACGTATTTTTAAGTTGTTAAATTGGTGATTTTCTGGATAAATTTAGCTCGTGAGTAGAGATAATTCTCTTAGGATTTGTCTAATTTAAAAATTAGCCCATCGTGTCTAAACGCGGATCCACACGGGACACAATGTATTTTCTATTGTGTCTTATATACGGGCATTCGAACGGTTAAGAATACTAAGAAAGCTTAGGTTATTTAGGATTAATCATTAATCCAAATGCTCTAAAATCTAGATTCCAAGACAGCATACACAACCAAATTAAGAGAGCGTCATCAAATATAGTCATAAAATACATTTTCCATGATTTTTCTCAAGATTTTTGGCATATCAACTATGTTTTCTTACTTATAATATTTACACCTAAAATAAAAACACATAATTGATGACTACATCCTTATATTGATCGAACTAAAACCTTCAATCAGTTTACATAGAACCATTCTGGACATAATAGTACAGACGGCCACACATCAATCTATACAAAACCAGTTTATCCTGGTGTCGCGTCGCATCATCTTTCCGCACATTTAACGTTCAGTTTATACTGGTTATGTAAAGCTCGATGTGTAGCCGTTTGTATAAGATCTCGCTACACGGTACATACTCCCCTCTTCCACGCACCATTACCTATAACAAAAAGGGTGGTTTCGGATATAAGTTGATTGATTTCTGATGTCAATATATGTGAGGTAATGTAGCGTGTCTGTCGCTGCATGGGACCCTATAATTGTAGGGGACACACCATTATCAGTAAACTTTTAGTATCTATCATTATTCTCTCACGGTCTCTGGTTGCGGATTTGATGGCGAACTTGTGTTTGTGGTGTAAACCTAATGTGTTTTTATATCTGCGTAATGTATGTAAATGAAGCTCTCTGTTCTTTATTTAAATTTGAATTTCCCGCGCATTGGTTTCATATGCTATCTGTGGACAGTAAGCCTGTACTACTCTATGATTGTGTGTTAAAAATTTTGGTGAACAAATTTTAATAATTATTGTTAAAATAATAGGAACATATTAAAACAATAGCTTTTAATGTTGTTTCTCTTTTTACAGAGCAATAACATAAGCAGTTGTTTTAATAATAACTAACATATTAGAGGTATATGTATGAAATATTTTATTTAGAAAAACTTCCCTAGTAAGTATACAAAATAAGATGTAGGTACATTATATGTATGGATTTATTATGATTGGATTAGCATTTCTATTTAGTCTTGGCTATAACAACGGTAAAATACGTATTTCCTTTCGATTTTCCAATCCGAACATTCAAATAATAACTGCAAAACGAGATAAGAGTCCTATTTCAAGTAAGTAAAGCCCAATTATATGAGAAACAATAAAAATATGAAATGTTCGATAGAAAATCGTTCAAAAATCAAAGTTATTACCTTATTCCCTTGTAAACTTTTTATCAGTAATAAACAAAAATGTGATTTATAACTTGTACAGAATTGTAAGGAGCCATAAACCGAACGATTGCATCAATTTCACGGCAATCCGTTGTAACTAACATATCGATTGACCAGTTTTACAGTCGCATTCAATTTTAATGGAAATCCTGATAACTTATTGCTTTCGACTATAAAAATATAATCGTATATGTTTCTACCTAATTCTTGGTAATTTTATGTCGTGGAAAATTTTCAGAGGAAATATTGTTTTCACGTTTGCCTTGTGCAACATTCTGCGTTATTGAATCAAATAACGTTTTAACAATAATAATATGAATGTTACAAACACAACAGTATTAATGGCGTACATTTCTAAATACCAAAATCCCTTTCGATATCATTAACTTGATTAATTCGACGGTTTTAGTGAAACTGTCACCACAAATAATGATTTGACAAAAGCAAGGCTCTTAAATTGTCTTAAAGGCCTAGTATTTCTTCCAAACAATACTCAAGCCAAAATTATTATCAGCAATTACTCTTTATTGTGTGACTCATTCAATAAACACTGTAGACAAAGCCAAATGTAACCCAATTCCTAACCTAAATAAGCGTAATATACAACCTTAAATCCGTTTTTGGCAGAATAACAGATATACAGACTCTATGCATTAGTTACAATATCTCAAAAGCTACTGGCTGGATACAACGTGAATACATTTCGCAAGCCATTAACCATGTGACAAATTGTCTTGCAAAATGGCTGCCGACGTTTTTTGGGCGGGAAATCTGTTGTTGGTGCGCAGAAAAATTCGACAACGGATTTTTCTTTCAATAGCCTGTGATATATGATTGGAGGGGTCGCATTGAATAGTTTTTTATTAGCTAGTTCCTTTAATCCTTTATTGTTGTTCGTCGACCATGAAATTATGTTATGATTTGTGTTTTCTATTTTTTATCGCTACTGTAACGCATTTAAAAAAATACAATTACTTATTTATTTAGTTTTGCATTTAATTGAGCAAAGTGTTCTTTCATTATGATGAAAATTAATATAATGATGAATGGTGTTTAGGTGCCATAAAAATAATAGGTTGAATTACATTAATAGTAATAAAAATTTTCTTTGTCAACAGGTTAAAGTTTGGTTCCAAAATAGAAGAACGAAACACAAACGAATGCAACAAGAGGAGGAGGCGAAGACGGGAGGCAAGTCAGGTTCCTCGAACATGAAGCCAGACGATGGCAGTCAGCTCAACAACTCCTACGAGGATGATGACGAGGAACTTATCGATATGGACATGGACGAACTCAGTGAAAGTGAAAATGAAACGTAAGACAGTGGACTAAGTGATAAAATTGTGTAAATATTAATGTAATCTAGATGTTTAGAGTATAGTTTTATTTATTTATGATGTTTAAGAGATTCTAGCACTGGCGATGTTGGTGGTGTCTGTACCCTTGTCTCTACCTACACTGACTCCATTAACGCTTTGAATTCACCAGAATCAAATGAATTATGTACACATTTTATCGTGATTAGTACAAGCCATGCTTTACAAATCAGGCCCGATATTGTCATTAATAATCTTAATTTCAATAATTAATTTTGGCACTTGGCATGTCGCAATCAAATTTGCAGGTTTTAATTAAAATTTATTTGATTACCAAGCCTCGTTTATCAACACACAACATGATCAATCTTCAAAAAGTGGGCGTTGTTTGGTGTTTGCAATAATTTATATCAATTCTAAAGCCATTATTGTGGCCATATCATTAAATCAACTTTATAAAACGGTTTCAAAATGGCTTCCCGAGTCTTGTTAGCGTCACGGCTTATTAGATAACAAAATTGGCCGTATTATAATAGTTTTCGGGGTTTAAATTAATTAAAAATGGCTCTTTTTTGATGTTCATCCAGTGATGTGGGTATAATTAGACATTTTAGATTTGAAACGTTGATAGGCAGGGTATGTGGTTTCTCAACGAGCGCTGTCAACGAAGGAGAAGGATAACAATACGAGAGTTATGGGTGTTAGAGTGAGATAGGTGTAATATAGAGATGAAGGCGATTATGGGTGCGTTCAGGGCCCTATTATTAAGAGATGCGTTCGAAAACTATCGCGTTCTCGAATCGCGTTTCGTAATTGCTCGCGACGTAACCAAATTGTTTCTCGACTCGTTGACGATTGTTCTCAGCCACTATTTGTCTACGCGTTAGGAATTTAACGATAGAGATCTTTATATTGTTGATGATTTCTTTGACGCGTTGCCTAACTGTTTAGTTTGACTAACGACGTGTCTCGACTATTGTTTTAATGTGTCACTTGTTTTTTATTTCTTTTCAACTCTGAGCTTGAATTTTTATGGCTATATACATAAGTCCACTTTATTGCGAGGTGGATGTTTTGAATTCTTTTGATACCGAAAATAATGAATTCGCACTAATCGTGCGTTCGGCTATTTTATGGCGGATTATAGCTAAACGCTAAAAACTTTACGGTCAATTAATCGATTAGCAACTTAGATTATGCTTAATTAAAATCAGTACTAGTTAAGAAAACTATGAGTGGATTCTCTCGACGTTTTTGAGCAAAACGAAGCTTTGGACAGAAATGTACAGGATCGATTCTCATTGTATTGTTTACTATGTTACTTCATAGGCTGTGGCCTTAAAACCCGAGTTTAAACGAGCGATTATAAGGCTAATTTGTATTTTCCTTTCCGTCTTTTGTTCATATGATTTACGATTACGAGTATCGAGTTCTCGCCGAATCGATTTACCGAGTGAATCGATTTTAAAAACAAACTATTTTGTTTTTGTTCAGTAACCGTGAGGTTATGCCATGTTGTTACAAAATGTAGTTTTTAAAAACATGCTCGGGTAATATATTTTTAATTGCTTGATATTGTATTGTGGAAATTGGTTTGGATTAAAGATAGAGCTTTTGATTTTACGTTATACTACACAGATTGAACTGGTAAAGGGTTCACAAATAAAGATTGAGAAATAAATTCTCTTTGGCTATTCGAATTCTTTAGTCTAATAAAAAACAAAAATCGATCCTTGGAATGCGCTAACTACCTCACTGCGCTATTAAAAAAATCCGAGGCAAAGAACCAAAGCGTTTGGCTCCACGCCATTCGTAATTTGAAATCTAGATTCCATTTTCAGCTCAATTAACTCTTAGTCGATTTTAATTATCGATTTTATTCATTAAGTGTTTGCGATTAGCGGGCATGTCGATATTTTACGATGTATTCTTTCGTAAAAGTTCGTTTTTAATTACATTTCCATTCATTGCTTTTAATTCGCTGATTATGTGACATTATAAGGTTTATTGGAGTCATTGGATGTTGAGATAAGGCTGTACCATTTTCGAATTGACTTAGACAAGAGAATTTTGAGTGATACCGGTGATTTTTGACTAATCATTGTAGAAAACCGGACCGATTTTAACGAATGATCATCAAAAATATAGTCAAAATAACCTTGTCTCAATAATTATGTACTTATTTTAAGTTAAAGAATTTAATAGTTTATTATTTATGTTACGTTCGGATTTTTTGACTGTTTTGTTGAAATCGGTCCTGTCTACTTACATTTATAGCTCAAAATTGAGTAGCAATACATATGAAAGTAAAATACTTTGCGTACAATATAAAGTTAACGATTCGCTCAAATATAGTAGTTTTATTAAGCCAGTTCCTTTAGAGTAATATGTTATGTGAATAAAAATATCTAACAACTCTATGCAGTATTATAATAATTCTACACCCTGACGTTGGTTTTCGACTGAGTGACGTGGACGTCAGTTTGTAAACTTCTGTGACGTCAGAATATAAATCGTTATTAGAGATTAAAAAATAAATGTTGATAATAAATAGAATGTCTAAATATTTATTCTGATTTTATTTTCTTAATGTTTTAGATTTGGTGTTCAGTAAAATGGAACGATTTGTCAAAATATTTTTACTTTTTTACAGACTTTGAGGAGTCTGTTTTGAACCTACTTGATCTACTTATCTATGAGAGGTTGTAATTTTTAAGTACATTCAAATTTCAAACCAGTGATGTTAACATTAAGTACATTTATTAACAAGAAAACTACTTAAAGGGACGTAGGTACTTACTTTTATAGTTCACCCAATTCTGAAGGCACATGTATGCGTGCATGCCTACAGGCTACACTTTAAACGAAGTCTTCAATAAAGACCGATGAACGAAATAGCTTAAGGCACTTCATTCATTCAGTCTTTTCGTTCATTCATACGTTGACAGATACCTACGTGACAACTGACAATCGACAATTTGACGTTTGTATTTACGTAGCATCGTAAGAAAAGAATACGGAAAATGTATATAACACTATTTATTTCCTATTATGTACTTAGTAAGGAACTTATGTTTAAGATTGGGTACCTGTAATTTTGAGAATGTTGTTTTAAATTTTGTATTATTGTGTAGATGTCATCTTGAAAATTTTCAGATTATATTTAAGCAATCTATTGAGTTTTATAAAATCTAACTACGTTTAGAATTTCATTCAATTATAATGGTATTTCAGTAGAACAATCAATGTTTTTAGTGTTCTGTATTTGGCGCTAGTGAACCGTAAGGTCTTACAGGTCCAAATTATCTTAGATGTTAAAAACTTAACTGTCTAATTCAATGGGACATTAGACCTTATGTCACATTAGCTTTAACAACTTACTCCTGTGGATTGTATTTATTGTTCAGTACCCATTAGAAACCCAATCTTTATAATATTGTAAATGTATCTGAAATTAAAAATGTTCCTTCTCCTAAATAATGCCACAAAAACAGTTTTGTAAATAAATTAACTAATAATCAATCTTTTAGGATAGTTGTACATTATTTTTATTTAATAAAAAACATAGTAAAGTTGTACATATGTGTGTTTACATGTAAAAGAATACTGTTTAAGTGTATTTGTGTGTATATCAAGTCTTTAATGACTCTCCCCATAATGTTTCGTTCCGACTCATTGCGAAAATGTAGTAACTTAAAATCAACGAGTGATATATAAAATATATGTTTATACTCATTTAATTTTTGTTGTTTCCTTTATCATTGTTTTGTTTTAACCATTATTAAGTACGTATACCTACATAATAAAATAGCAGAAAGTTTTACCCATAGAGGATATGAAGGTGGCTTTTTTTTAAGGGGGGACAATCATCAAATTACTGCTCCCGCCTGGGTGAGGCGGGAGGGAGTGTCAGACTCTTACTGACTAAAAACCAACCCGTTCCTCCTCCTGCACGTCGAGCCGGAGCCCCGGTAACCCGTTAGGTTCTCCGCGACATGAAGGAGGCTAGAGAAGGCCTTTGCACTGCAGCGGGACGATGACAGCTGAAAATTAAATAAATAACTGAAATATTGAATATGAATGAAATTCATACAATTTAGAAAAGAAAAGAAAGTAATGAGTCGTTAGTTCACCAATGGGTAAGAGGGTGTCACCAATTTATAATAATTAGTTATATCGTGAGACTTGGTGACATAACTAAAAGTTACGCGTTTTATTTATTTATTTTTAATCAGTCACAACGGACGTATTTAACCGAGAAAAGCTCTACTAGTTTCGAGTCACAGAGGGACTCTTCCTCATGAGCAGCGTGCGCGGTCGTGGCGATGCGCGCAGCTTACTAGGTTGTCAACTGATAGTAAGTGACACCCACAACACCAGTGGAGTTGTAATGGGGTGTTCGAGTTTTAAGAGGGACTTCGATCACCTCATTCACATATTGAAATAAAACGCAAATTTAATTTCACGGTGGTTTTCTGTGAGATTTTTGCATTTGGTATAAAATGCAGTAGGATATAAACTGATATGATAACTGCTTGAGATCCAGAGTCCTATTTAACGGTAGGTAAAATGAATATATTCAGTGTTACAACAGAATTTTCCACTATTAATATGTTCAAAAATGAAGTCTCCAAACAGATAGAACGATCGAATAAAAAAAGGTATAATAATAAAACCCGATTTAAAAAAAACACGCTCTAAAAAGTATTAAATAGGAACGTTATTTTAGAGGATAGCTGTCGTCGTATGCCACATTGCTATACAGTACATAATAATGGCGTACGGCCACGGCTATCCTCTAAGAAAATTTTGGCTTCGCCGTACACATAATATAACATCACGCCTTTTATCCCTAAAGGGTTAGGCAGAAGTGCACACAGAAGTTACACCCACTTTTCACTATTTATGTTATGAGTCCCATGTAAAAGGGGGTGAGCCTATTGCCATATACCGAGCACAATTCCAGACACCGTGCTACTACTATGATTTTTTTTAAAAACCCAGTAATACTTAGCCCGACTAGGAATCGAACCCGAGACCCCATGCCCGGCAGTCGCACTTGCGACCACTCGGCCAACGAGGCAGGCAGCTTCGCCGTAGTCGGGTAAAAATATGTAAACTATACAATATGTAGAAGTAAACTATACATATATTACACATTACTAAATAATATTATGTACATAACTATCTACCTACATAACTATACATAAGTCAACTATCTAATTAATACTATGATAAAATGTCTGTTGCTTAATCTAGTCGTACGAACGCATTAGACATAATTACTAAGTTCTAACGTTAATGCTAGATATTTAGCTTAATCTAGACCAGACTGACAGGTGACCTAGCTAGACTTATTAAGGAAAAATCTAGGTTTTATGATCATAGACTTAAATTGACTGCCGCGTTTATTGAGAACGCAAGTTTGACTTCATAGCGAGGGGTTTCAGGTTGGATTCTCGGATTTAATTTTAAATAAATAGATGAACAAATAAATATCCTTTATTATTGCTACTTGTAATACATTGGGTGATTATTATTGGGTATTTTTCAGTGTTTCAAAGATTTTTCAGAAATGACATGGAGTTCAAAATTGTCCCCGGTTTATGGCCTTAAGTCACCTTCTAGTATATGGGACTTATAACATAAATAGTGAAAAGTCGAGCAGACGGATCACCTGATGGTAAGCATTCGGCGTCGCCCATTGACACCTGGAACACCAGAGGCGTTACAAGTGCGGTTTAGTCGAATTTTTGGGGATTAGGAGTTTGAGGATCGTTGGGGATTCAGAGACTGGAGAGATTGGGGAAGGGGGGGTAACCTCACTCACACGACGAAAAACAATGCAAGCAATTGCTTCACGTCAGTTTTCTGTGAGGCCGTGGTATCACTCCGGTCGAGCCGGGAAACATACATTGTGACATTATTTGGACTTCTTATTTTTGGGGACAAATAGCATCACAGTATAAAATATAATTAGACTTATATAAATAAATAAATAAACAGCTCTCCTAGAAATGGTTACAGGCAAACGGTTAAAGAAAGTAAAAGGTCACGAGTTCAAGTCTCCTACTTATTACACGTCCATTTACGTCAGATTAAAATAAGAGTTAGGTATAATTAGGTAAGCTGAATTAGTGTGCAGTCTAGATTTTAATTAAGTAATTATTAGATACGTAAGTGTGTATACTGAAGTTACGTAGGTATGTATGAAGTAACTCGTTTATATTTATCGCTTCAGGTAAAAAGACAGGCTAGTAAAGATTATAATGTATTCTTTATTAATTCTTGTGGTAAGGAAACAGGACTGATCTAGGTGGAAAACGTTGCGGGCGAAACATGCCATTCAAATAAATTAACAAACGAAATAAACAAAAGAGGACACACTTAAAATTTAAATACTTAATACAGTACCAGTGGCACTGGTATCATAAAGAAATTGGCGGACGACCACACAAATAGAAGTGACGTCACGCATCGATATGATGACAACACTAGCGTCCCGCGATGAATGCCGAGTAGGGACGTGACACGCCTACCTAATCAACTTATCGATGTTGGAATATTTTTCGGTAAAACTTTTTTATTATCTTTTTGAACTTTTGCCTGTGATGTGACATTTACGTTTAGAGTTATCAGATTGGATTTTATGTCGAAATCGATCGTGATGGGATTGTCGAGTGTCAGTTGAGGAAAAGTTTTGAGGTCTTCTTCAAGGCGGATAAATATCGCCTACATGGTAGTCAGCGGTGGTTATTTTATTGGCGAACGTGGTGATTGTTATCGTGATTCTAACGTGTTGTTTTTGAAAGGAAAAGTGATGTGATTAATACATTTTTGGAATATTTTTTAAACAGTTTCTGTGTGATGAAATAAATATCTACCTGTTTAACTGAAGTGAGTATTATAAAGTGGTCGTATGTGAGTGTCGACCACAAAGTTTTGGATTTCCCTTATGTGAGGAGGAATCTGGCATTAAATTGTGGACGTGACAGAAGTCTCGTCTGGTACTATGCTACTAAGGCACGTCTAACACTTTGCCTTGTAAGGCAGTCATACCATTACCTAAAAGATCCGATATTAGGCGCTCATTCAATCAAAATAAGTTCTCTTTCGATTCAAAATACTTCTTGGAACTGCGCTATTATCACACAATTAGAATAATTATATAACTATTGGTGAAAGTCAGCCCTATAGTTATTAACTATGCATTGATATTAACTCATTGAATCAGCTTTCTACTAAGGGTCGTATTGCTCCAGTGGAACAATAAATTATACTTAAAATACACCTATGTAATATAGGTACGTATTTTTATTCACATCTTGATTCTCCTTAGTCCTTTCCATCATCGTACCACAAGACAATCGGCGAAGCGTCACCGATTCATGGTAGATATCCCACCCACATGCACGAAGCGAAATATAAAAAAAAACAAATAAAAAGTACATTGCCTTTGTAATTCGATAAAACTAAACCTCGGTCAATCCATGATGACGTGAATCTTCAACAATATCGATAAATTTCTAAAACGAATATCGATACAATAACGTCCCGCACTATTCTCTCAACATTGGAGTATAATATAGAAAATTCATGACAAAACCAAATACTGGCAGTTATTATTTAACCAAAGGTGTAAAAACCGCATCAAGTCGGTTTATCTTTAGTTACCATCGAACTTAACTCAGTTCTCACACATAAAAGCTATATTTAAAACGAAAAAAAAATAATGCAATTTATTTTCCGATTCCTCTTAAACTGCGCTGATCAGTGACGCGCGAAAAGTTAAATAGTTAAAAGGATTACTTAGCAGGTAAGTGGGTTCGAATCCTGAATCATGTAAGCCAATTTTCCCCGAAGCGATGCGGGTGGCATATTTTGAGGATATTAAAGATTTTACAAACAAACTTTAGATAAGGTTTTTTTGGGGAGTTTTTGAAAGGTTTTGCCGCCTTTTGCGGTGGGTTTATCGTTATTGGATTAACTCTTCTTGAGATGGATTTAACTGGACAGTTATTGTGAACCGTGTTCTTCTTATTGCAGAAGAAAAATGACTTTGTAATAATTAGTTGGTGAGTAATTACTTAGATAATTAGCACTATAGAATACCGGTTGCAATTCCGACTACTAGTAGGGAGGTCTTTATTTGCATTCCAAATAGTTGTTCAATTTTTAATTCTTAGAAGGAATGACCCTGTAATGATTGAATGTTCGGATTAATAAGTGATTTAAACTGTCAAACACCAAGCGGTCACCGGTGACTGCAACCTATTGTTCTATAATTGTGTCTACATAGACGGTACTCGACGAGTTAATTAGTCTTTTTTAACTATTGCTGTATTTTTTTTTACTGTGTTCTGGGCTATGATGGGATTTAGTTGATGATTTATGTTTAATGTATTTAATATATCTATATAATGTTACTAATAGTGGATCGTGAAAATAAAGAAATCTGATCGTTTGGCTTTTATCACAGCTCTTTTCATCGCAAAATTGAATATAAAATATTTTTTTATGGCATAAGCCGAAACCGAACCGTCGGTAACCGAACAGACGGATTACCTAATGGTAAGCAATCGGCGTCGCCAATGGACACTTGGAACACCAGAGGCGTTACAAGTGCGTAACCGGCCTTTTGGGGATTAGGAGTTTGAGGATCGTTGGGGATTCAGGGATTAGGGAGATTGGGGAAGGGGAGGGTAATTGGGTCACCGGTAACCTCACTCACACGACGACG